CAACATCATAATATGGTGGGAGGAGTCATTTGGTTAAGTTTCAGTGAAATCCGAACCCTAGAACTACCCGAAACACCAACCACTCCAATTAGGAACGAACTGTCTTTGAACTTGAATTGTCCCATTTCTTACACCTATTGATTTCGGATCGAGCCCAAAACTTGGGCAATGTCATAATATTTTTTGAGGAGTCATTTGGTTAAGTTTGAGTGAAATCCGATCCTAGATCTACCCAAAACACCAACCACTCCAATTAGGAACGAACTGTCTTTGAACTTGAATTGTCCCATTTCTTACACCTATTGATTTCGGATCGAGCCCAAAACTTGGGGAACACCATAATATGGGGGGCGGAGTCATTTGGTTAAGTTTGAGTGACATCCGATCTCTAGAACTACCCAAATCACCAACCACTCCAATTAGGAACGAACTGCCTTTTGAACTTGAATTGTCCAATTTCTTGCACCTACTGATTTCGGATCGAGCCCAAAACTTGGGCAACAACATAAAACGGTGCGAAGAGTCATTTGGTTAAATTTGAGTGAAATCCAATCTCTAGAACTACCCAAAACACCAACCACTCCAATTAGGAAAGAACTGCCTTTGAACTTGAATTGTCTAATTTATTACACATATTGATTTCGGATCGAGCCCAAAACTGGGGCAGCATCATAATATGGTGGGAGGAGTCATTTGGTTAAGTTTGAGTGAAATCCGATCTCTAGAACTACCCAAAACACCAACCACTCCAATTAGGAACGAACTGCCTTTGAACATAAATTGCCCAATTTCATACACCAATTGATTTCGGATCGAGCCCAAAACTTGGGAAACATCATAATATGGTGGGTGGAGTCATTTGATAAAGTTTGAGTGAAATCCGAACTCTAAAACTACCGAATACACCAACCAATGCAACTTGGAACGAACAGCATTTGATCTTGAATTGTCCAATTTCTTACACCTATTGATTTCGGATCGAGCCCAAAACTTGGTCAACATCATCATATGGTGGGAGGAGTCATGCGGTTAATTTTGAGTGAAATACGATCTCTAGTACTACCCGATACACCAACCATCCCAATTTGGAACGAACTGCCTTTGAACTTGAATCGTCCAATTTCTTACACCTATTGATTGCGGATCGAGCCCAAAACTTGGGCAACATCATCATATATTGGGATGAGTCATTTCGTTAAGTTTGAGTGAAATCCGATCTCTAGAACTACCCAAAACACCAACCACCCCAATTAGGAACGAACTGCCACTAAACTTGAATTGTCCAATTTCTTACACCTATTGATTTCGGATCCAGCCCAAAACTTGGGCAACATCATAATGTGGTGGGAGGAGTCTTTTGGTTAAGTTTGAGTGAAATCTGATCTCCAGAACTACCCAAAACACCAACCACTCCAATTAGGAACGAACTGCCTTTGAACTTGAATTGTCCAATTTCTTACACCTATTGATTTCGGATCGAGCCCAAAACATGGGCAACATCACAATATGGTGGGAGGAGTCATTTGGTTAGTTTTGAGTGAAGTCTGATCTCTAGAACTACGGAATACACCAACCACTCCGACTAGGAACGAACTACCTTTGAACATAAATTGTCGAATTTCATACACCTATGGATTTCGGATCGAGCCCAAAACTTGGGCAACATCTTAATATGGTGGGAGGAGTCATTTGGTTAGTTTTGAGTGAAATCCGATCTCTAGAACTATGGAATACACCAACCACTCCGATTAGGAACGAACCGCCTTTGAACATAAATTGTCCAATTTCCGACACGTATTGATTTCGGATCGAGCCCAAAACTTGGGCAATATCGTAATATGGTGGGAGGAGTCATTTGGTTAAGTTTGGATGAAATCCGATCTCTAGAACTACCCAAAACACCAACCACTCCAATTAGGAACGAACTGCCTTCGAACTTGAATTGTCCAATTTCTTACACCTATTGATTTCGGATCGAGCCCAAAACTTGGGCAACATCATAAAGATGGTGGGAGGAGTCATTTGGTTAAGTTGGGATGAAATCCGATCTCTAGAACTACCCACAACACCAACCACTCCAATTAGGAACGAACTGCCTTCGAACTTGAATTGTCCAATTTCTTACACCCATTGATTTCGGATCGAGCCCAAAACTTGGGGTACATCATAATGTGGTGGGAGTAGTCATGTGGTTAATTTTGAGTGAAATCTGATCTCTAGAACTGCCCAATACACCAACCATCTCAAATAGGAACGAACTGCCTGTTAAATTGAATTGTCTAATTTCTTACACCTATTGATTTCGGATCAACCCAAAACTTGGGCAACAACATAATATGGTGGGAAGAGTCATTCGGTTAATTTTGAGTGCAATCCGATCTCTAGAACTATGGAATACACCAACCGCTCCGACTAGGAACGAACTGCCTTTGAACTTGAATTGTCCAATTTCTTACACCTTTTGATTTCGGGTCGAGCCCAAAACTTGGGCAACAACATAATATGGTGGGAAGAGTCATTCGGTTAATTTTGAGTGCAATCCGATCTCTAGAACTACCCAATACACCAACCACCCCAATTAGGAACGAACTGCCATCGAACTTGAATTGTCCAATTTCTTTCACCTACTGATTTCGGATCAACCCCAAAACTTGGGCAACGACATAATATGGTGGGACTAGTCATTTGGTTGAGTTTGAGAGAAATCCGATCTCTAGAACTACCCAAAACACCAACCACTCCAATTAGGAACGAACTGCCTTCGAACTTGAATTGTCCAATTTCTTACACCTATTGATTTCGGAACGAGCCCAAAACTTGGACAACATCATAATATGGTGGGATGAGTCATTTGGATGAGTTTTAGTGAAATCCGATCTCTAGAACTACCCAAAACACCAACCACTCCAATTAGGAACAAACTCCCTTTGAACTTGAATTGTCCAATTTCTTACACCAATTGATTTCGGATCGAGCCCAAAACTCGGGCAACATCATAATACGGTGGGAGGAGTAACTTGGTTAATTTTGAGTGAAATCCAATCTCTAGAACTACACAATACACCAACCACCCAAATTAGGTACGAACTGCCATTGAACTTGAACTGTCCAATTTCTTACATATATTGATTTTGGATCGAGCCCAAAACTTGGGCAACATCATAATATGCTGGGGGGAGTGATTTCGTTAGTTTTGAGTGAAATCCGATCTCTAGAACTATGGAATACACCAACCACT